TCCCTGTAACAGGCCGCGGAGGTCCATACGGTTGCGTGACGTTGAGTGTCCCACTACTTCTAGACAATCGGCTCTTAGATGGCGGTGAGGTTGTCAGCCTTATGCGTCGGTCGCCCTTTACCTCCTCAGGAATACTCCAGGTACTCATTTCTGTTAGAGGCTGAGTCAACCCCAGAGCCATAGTGCGGCTGGAAGGATTAGGTAAATCGAGAAAATCCACCTCATCCGGACTTGAACCCGCGACCTTCCTGCTTGTAGCATAGTTCATCAACCAACTACGTTACCGCGTGCCCCTCCATGCTGATATAAGTGAATTCAAAAAATCAAAATTCCGTGGCCCAGGTCTCAAACCATTGCTTCAGACCATTTTGATATCTCCACTTTCATGCTACACGTATCGGATGGACGAGGGGGCGAAGCCATAGAATCTTCTAAAAGAAAGTTATGCTCTTTCTCACATCCTCCCCCGGCAATAAAGTGTCACTTCTCCCATGACTTTTCACTTTCACCTACCATTTTACTATACTTTCCACAACACCCTCTCTTCAGCACGAACAATTGTGTAAACATTACCGTCTCCTACGAGTAGTAGAGAATGTGCGCCAGTGATGACATCTGTTGTTAACAGAGAGAACCATGGCTATCCCTCGGGTCTCTCTCTCTCTCTCTAACGAACGCGTGTGTTACGTGGACTCTCCGTTCTTTTGTTGCTGTCGCTTATACCGCAGTGTCACGTGTGTATGTCCCTCTTCCATACGCGGTTTAATGTGTTTTCTTCATTCTATCCCAGTACACAGTATTATTATTATATTTCAGAATTGCCGTTCTTCATACACAAAATGATAACGTGACGCCGAACGGAGCAGTGTTTCGCATTTTTCGCTTAGTGGGGGGTGGAGTCCAACTCTGTCCACTCGGTACGGCGGCCACTGATTGGCCTGTTGTACCTGCCCCGGGTGATTATGAGGATGGAGAATGTGGTAGAATGAAGATTGGCAGGGGAAACCGAAGTACTCGCAGAAAACCGGCCCCAGCTCCACTTTGTCCACCACAAATCCCACTTGACCGAACCCGGGCCGCCGCGGTGGGAAGCCAGCGACTAACCGCTTGAGCTATGGCGCGGCCCTGGTTGAGGCATTACGTTACAAGCCGGAAGGTCGCGGTTTCAATTCCCAATGAGGCCATTGGATGATTTTCAGTTGACTTAATATTTCCAGCCTCATTATGACCCTGGGATCGACTCAACCTGTGACAGGAATGAATACCAGGAATCTTCCTGGGTGGTAAAGTGCGGCTGGCGCGTAAGGCTGACAACCTCACCGCCATCTGTGAGCCGATTGTGTAGAAAATGTGGGAACCTCAACGTCTCACAAATTCATGGCCTCTGCGGCATATTACAGAGATATCTTTACCTTTTAACGCACCTTTTTCGAAAACTACTGCCCCCCCCCCGGGTCGCACAAGCCAACTCAATTGCTCCGCACTAGACACTATGGTTTTCGCGCTTGTATCCCCGGCTTAGCGGGAACGTTGGTCGGAACCGTTTAATATCGTCAGTGCTTCACACAGAATTCTCTCTTTCTCTCTGTCACACTTTTATGACGTCACAGAGCCGAGGATATGATGGCCATACAGCCAACATATTTGTAGCGTTATAAAATATATACCAATCATGAAACACAGTGTGACTGAAATGTCGGTCGTTGGTTTCACACATTGTTTCGCAATCATCACTTTCTCTCAATAAAACGTCCATCTCTTTGAAATGTATAACATCAATGTTGCGTCACGGTTACGTATGAGTGACGTAACAAATTACAAGTTTCGATCAAACCCAGCGTGTTCGTGCTGCAGTTATGTAAGACTGCGTGGTTTAGCAGGGCGTTGAGCAGAAGGTAGGCTGTAGGCGTCAGTTTGTTTATTTCCTGCTGCAACGAGCTCCATTTGTCACACTTGCTGCCTACGGGTCATTTCATTGGCTTCACGCGGGATTGTTATGAAGTGTAATCGAAATCGTCGGTTAAGTAGGTACCTGTTTCTTTTTGGGTTTACTTAAACGTGCTTTCAGTAGAGTGGGATGATAGATGAATTGTAAAGGATTTGGAAGGAAGCGGCCATGACCTATTCAGAGCACTCAACCGGAATTTGCCTTGAGGGACTGAGGAAATCCACGCAAATCCTTAGTCAGGATATCCGGTGTCCCAGTCGAGATTCGAACCGACCATTTTCCGAATACAGGTCAAGCCAGCATCTTAATTCGCTTAGTGGGGGGTGGAGTCCAACTAGGTCCACTCAGCACGGCGGCCACTGATTGGCCTATTGTAGCTTGCCCCGGGTTATTATGATGAAGGAGAATTTGGTGCAATGAAGATTGGCAGGGGAAACCGAAGTACTCGGAGAAAACCTGCCCCAGCGCCACTTTGTCCGCCACAAATCCCACTTGACCAGACGGGATGGAACCCGGGCCGCCGCGGTGGGAAGCCAGCAACTAACCACTTGAGCTATAGCGCGGCCAATACAAGCCTATGGCTGTTCTACCTTTTGGTTTCTCCAGAAGTATTGTTTCCTGTCACAGAATAATGACACGTGTGTGGGGGGGGGTAGACGTGTATAAATTCTAGGGGTAATTGTGTCCGTACAAAGAAGATACATCTCAATAAAAATGTAACAAGGATACGATTTATATATGTTCGACTGTAAATGGGACTGGTATGCAGTTAGGGAGAAAATTGTTATTAGATTTGTTACTGAGCAATTTTGGAGCCGGATAGCTCAATCGGTATAGCGACTGGCTACGGGTTGGACGGTCGAGAGGTCGGAGTTCGAGTCCCGGTAGGGTCAACAATTTTCACTTCTCCATGTGGTCCAGACCGGCTCTGGGGCCTACCCTGCCTCATATCCAATGGGTACCGGGGCTCTTTCCCGGAGATAAAGCGACCGGGGCGTCAAGCTGACCACTCACCTCCAACTAGTGCCGAGGTCAAGAAAATGAGGATCTATACCTCCACTCCCCCATACGTCTTCATGGTGTATTGCTTAATTAGTTAAGCACAGGGACAACTTTGCCTTTACTGAGCAGTTTTACCAATCTCTGTCGATAAATTCTAGTATCGATTAAACTGGGACATAAAATGACATATCCTTCACCCTTCAGGTAACTCGAAGTGATTTGCTAAGTATTACGTTTCGTGATAGTCTTAAGGGTTTAGAGATAATTGAAGAAGTGAATCGATTTAGCAGAAATTGTTAATCTATTGGAAAACTGTGAGTGCCCGTAAGAAACTTGTCATGACATACCATACGGAACTTCAGTGTGAACCTTTTCATTACATGAACACTAGATGGTGGTGGGTGTCTAATTTCACACTAAGTTAATGTGACGTATTTTTTCAAAGCAAGAACTGTGGAGGCACAGAAACAGGCGTTGATAAGTAAGGGTCCGTATACACGCAACAGAGGAACTCATCACGCTGTGACGTCAAGCAACAATAGAAGTTGCAAGTGGCGTTCTCTGTGGGTCTGAGCCGCGCTTGTTGCTACGCAACTGTGCGGTAAACACATCTCTGTAACAGTAAATCAACACGCAATAATCGAGGAAGCGGTGTTTTCTGTGGGTCCCTCTAAGTATACAACGAGGATCTCACCTGTGTGGAGGCGGGTTCGAATACCTCCACCATAGCCCTACGACTTGGGGGAGGCGACGAAGAAGGAACCCAGTGCCTGGGGGTATAATCGGGCCACTCTGTTCATGGAGGATATATATACGGAAACCTGGACCTCCAAGTTTGCGGGGAGTATCGAATCTGAGAGAGTAAAATGTGGTCATGAGCCCCGTGGGACTGTGACCTGAGAATGACTGCGCTGGCGAGGACCAGCAGAAATTGTAAAGGTAAACCCAGCCTCTCATCAGCGAGGATGTTACATAAAGACTATAACCGAAAGTGTTCAATTGGAAAATAAAATTACTGGTCGTGAGTCTCAAAGAGTTGTCGCCAAGTCGAACTGATTGACGGTAAACCGCCAGCCGTAAAGTGACTGTGACTCTGACTGGAATTAAAATTAAATCGAGAGTTGAGATCCGCGAAGATAAGTGAGAAAGGATCTCACTTGCAGCAGAGAATTGAGAATAAATGGCAAGAAAGGAATTAGGCTATGAATCCGTTGCCAGGATACGACTAGTGAAGGCTGAGAACAATGGTGCGTGTGTAACCGTGAACTGATAAGTGTGTAGATCAGTGATAACGCCGTATCGCGTTTAGTTTCAAGATAATTTTATAAGTTGTCAATAAAACCAGTCATCCAATCTAAAACCCCGTCTTGTAAGTCGCGCACACCCCCTACTTATTGCAGTAATTTCTCTCTACGTTATTTATATCATTGGGAGGCTTTGTATCTTGATCTGTGTGATATCTTTCGAAATAAAAAATAGAGGGACGCCTACAAAATATTCTGTTGAAACTTAAGATGTAAGATACAGATACGATTATCCATCTACAAGACCGACAGGGGATTCATCGGAGGATGAATGCTCCACTCATGCCACTCACCCACAAATTGACTTAATGCTCCACAAATAAGAGAGCAGATTTTAAACACGCAGTCAATAAAAAAAAAGGTACAGATACTCGTATAATGGAGAAGCGTAGAACAGGACATGAAGAAATCCATGTTCATTGTACTCATAGTATTAGGCTGGGGCCACACGAGCGCACAAAATGCGTCCGTTGTAGAAATAAACAAGAGAGGCGAATGCTAAGCTTTCTTCTGGCGCCATTGCAGACAAGAAACTACGCACCGCATTCTGCAACTGTGTGGTGTCCTCAGCAACGTCCGTCATAAAGTACGTTCTTTACAACGGACGTACTTCGTGCGCTCGTGTGGCCCCAACCTTAGGATTATGAAATCAGGAGTGATGCAGTAGTCGGGGCGTGTAGAGTAAAAGGAAGCAAAAATTATACATAGAATTTTTGTGGGGAAATTTCTCAAAACACAGCACAAAGAACAAATTCACATTTATATCCTCCTCGTTTAATAAATCATACAGACTACGTTAGTGATACGTTTTAGGAAACACAAAAATTATTATTTTTTGGCACAGATTTCAGTGTGTTTTTCTCATGCTAGTAAAATGTCATAACACAAAATATGTTTTGGGTGTGAGATTATCATGGCAGTGATTGTGAGGACATGACGCCGTGTTGTTTGGAGAGACCCCGACGAATAGGCTATAAAATGCTCAACTCGCCGTCTGCTTTTCATGCCTCCACCCTGAAGATGGAGGCGGTATATTCGTCCGAAGCGTCGTTTTCTATCCTTAATACACAGCGGTAGATTCCAGAAGACCGTACTCTTTTTTAAAGTATATTATTTGAATGTATTTAGTTTTGAATTACGGTAACACCTGGTGCCTTATTTTTATATTGTTTGAATATGTGAACTTATTTGTTTAAATGAAGCTTGTGTTGTGTTTGTTAACGGTCTGACGTTTACAACGCTCCTGTACCCTTATCTATGACATCCTTAGTAATTCCTTTATCCACAGAACAAAGGATATGTTCATTTCGTCTTCATAAACTTTTGCTCAGCCCCTTCTCGTATTTATCACTGAAAGATAACAGTTTCAGTGAGAGTTGTTCTTACCGTTTTATAACGGAAACTCTAAAAAATTAATTTTTCTTACTCATTTAAAGAAGTCAGTAACAGAGAAGCAACATAGAACGATCTCTGTTAATTGTTGTGTCACTGTTCAAGTTGCGCAACAATGTCCGTCCAGAACGTTATGTAGTCCTTCACAACAGAACCCCTGAAACAAAATAATGCTGTTAGAATAATTTTTCCTTTCACTGTCTTTAACATTTAATCTGAACAATACATATCAATTCAGTTCGTACCTCACAGGAAACAGATCCGAACCCACGATCCCGGCTTCCGAGCGACCGAAGACAGTTCATATCTCAGACCGCTCGGCTACCGTGACCTGGTTACTACACGTTTACAGACATTTTTCTGCCAATAGAACACAAAATAGGCACAGTGTTTCTTGAACCTCCAGGTGTATAGGCATAATTTACGGTGTCAGGGATATAAAAAGCAAAAGAAGGTAAAGCCATCCCTGTAACAGGCCGTGAAGGCCCATAGGGTTGTGAGACGTTGAGGCTGCCACATTATATAGACAACCGGCTCAAAGATGGCGGTAAGGTTGTCAGCCTTACGCTCCGGCCGCGCTTTACTCCCCATGAAATTTATTTAATTAATTCCTGGTACTCATTTCTGTTAGAGGCTAAGTCGATCCCAGGGCCATAGTGCGGCTGGAAGGATTAGGTCAATTGAAAAAGGAATCCAATGACTTCATCGGGACTTGAACCCGCGATCTTCCGGCTTGTGGCATAGCCCCTCAACCAACTACGCTACCGCGTGCTTTTGAGTATTTCTTTATAACATGTAGGCATTCTGTGACAAGAGGTACAGTTGCGATGTCAGATGGTGCTTTGGAAAAGCCGACTGCAATATACTACGTCTGTAATTATTAATGCCAATCACTGTTGTGTGTGTGTGTGCTACTTTCTGTGTCTCGAGAGTTAGTGCAATTTTATATAAGAAGATTATAGGGAAGGGGGGAGGTTAATAACGAGAAGTTGCCATAATGTTGTAGTGTTATTATTGTAATGACGTAACATGCTGGGGCGGAGACCGTCAGCAGTGATTATTACGGATTGCGACATGGGTTGACACGACCTCCAGGAAACAACATAATTCACCAGTCTACATTAGATAATTACATTACAGATTTCAAATCTAATTACTTCTGTACGTTGTAAGAGAACGATCGCCTCTGTGGTCTAGTGGTCAGAGTTTCTGGCTACAGATTCAGAGGTCAGGGTTCGATTCCCGGCGCTATCAGATTTTCTGAGAACTAGTGGGTCTGAAAACTCAGCCTCGTGAGGATAATTGAGGAGCTGTTTAAAGGAAATAGCGGCCCCGGTCTAGAAAACCGAAATTAACGGCCGTGGGGATTAGTTGAGCTGACCACGTGACAGCCTCTATCCGCTAAAGGTGGCACTAACTTCGCCGACAAGCGGCTGTCGCTCGGTCGGTATAGTTCGCTTGCGGACGAAAACCACGGAGGTTCTTTTTGTAAGAGAACTGTGAGAGTGTCCTTGAATTTCAGGCAAATATATCTTCATTTCGGCTCCCTAGTCATATATTATTCTTCACATATGTTATTGCCGCCTTCTGTTGGATTTAAGGGTCTCACATCAGTGACTGATGTGTGTTGTCGTCTGGAATGTGCTTTGCAGAAGTTCACGACGTTTTGGAAAAGCGTACTCTTTCTCTCTTTAGAGTATAAAGGTAAGGCACGAAAGCAAGCAAATGTCTGTGTTCGCTTTATTGCCTAACTCTTCGACACTGAAGATGGAGGCATTACGTTTCTCTGAAGTGTCGGTGACATTTCAACGGGTAAAATGATGTCACATCCCAAGAGGCAGTACACTTCAAAGCTTCACTTTCTCAGAGAAGTGAATTTTTAATTTTTTTCCTGTACGTAGTATACAGAGTGTCCCAAGATGAAAGATCAATATTGTGGGAGGTTGTGGTATCGGCCATTCTAAGCAGAAAGAATGTATATGTACATGTGTCCTATTCCGAACGGTTTCCGAGATAGAGCTCTTTCACTGTGCAGACGAGCAACACGCCATGTCCTCACACGAGTTGCAAAGCGCATTGTTGTTGGTGGAATTTTCGAAAATGTGTTATACTAGGTAAACTCTACCAACTTTGTCACCTGAACAATAAACACCGGTATTAGAAACAGTACGTAATATATCTCTCTTATCAACAGTTTTGGAACTGTACAGTGAAATAGCTGTATATCGGAAACCGTTCGGAATAGAACACATGTACATATACATTTTCTGCTTAGAGTGACCGATACTGAGACCTTCCAGAATACTGACCTCTCGTTTTGAGACAGCTTGTGTACAAGATACTGTTGTGATGATGGAGAAACCGATGTAGATTTATACGTATTTACACGTTCTCGCACCCCAAAGTGTGGAAAATTTGTTTTTTAACCTCTTCTATGTGTATGTATGTATTTTTTTATTGCTAGTGGGGTGGGAATAAGTCCCTTGTACTGCGGCCACTTCTGGCCTACTGTACCAGCCCCAGATGATAGGTGAGGGTGATTGTGGAACAATTGGTGGAATGAAGATCGGCAGGGAAGTACTCGGAGAAAACCTGCCACAGCGCCACTTTGTCCACCACAAATCCCACTTGACGAGACCCGGGATCGTACCCAGGCCGCCGCTGTGGGAAGCCAGCGACTAACCGCTTGAGCTATGGCGCGGTCACTGTATGTACGTATGTATGGATACAATCATGCATATATAGGCGAGTGATGTATAGCTCCAGCATTCTTGACCTCGGCATTAGTTGGAGTTGGGTGGTCAGCTTCCCTCTCCTGCCGCTTTACCCTCAAGGAAGGAAACATCCGGTACTCATTTGATAGGAGCCAATCCAAACGGCATACCTAATAAATCTTTTCTATAAGTCTGTGTGTCTGTATTTGTGTGACCCTATTGTTGCTAGGCAACGGCTAGGTATAAAACTACTAAAAATGCCAGAATTATTGGACACGTAGATTTATATGTGGTCCGCGATCAGTTCTACCGAAATCTCATTGCTGACCTGGACATCAAACGGTGTAGACCGTGATGTGTCAGCAGTGGCCCGCGACCCACTGGCAGTAAACACTGGTGTACCCCTTCCCACTCGTGGTGCCGCTGTAATGCCACTTCTCTTCACGCGGTTGTGTTGGAACGCGGCGGGCTGTTACGGCAGCCAGAGGTGAGTGACCGCAGGACAGAAGGTGGGATGTAAGGATGTGGTCCAGCAGTCAGTTGCCGAAGTTGCCGCTGCTGTGTGTAATGTCACTGTCACGAGTCAACAGAAACAGCACCTGCGCATGTGCAGACGAATCACGGCGCTGTTTTTGCAGGAACTTTAACCTCTGTATGGAGATCAACAAGTCTCAGCGTGAAAGTTGGAAATTCGGAGAAAATTCTGATCGAAGATTAAGGGAGTGATATCAGACAGTGGAACCGCCTCTGTGGTCTAGTGGTCAGAGTTCCTGGGTACAGATCCAGAGGTCCGGGTTTGATTCCCGGCGCTATCAGATTTTCGGAGAAGTAGTGGGCCTGGAACGGAGTTCACTCAGCCTCGTGAAGATAATTGAGGAGCTACTGCAAGGAAATAGCGGCTCCGATCTAGAAAACCGAAATTAACGGGATTCGTTGTGCTTACCACGTGACACCCTCTCTCTGCTAAAGTTGGAACTAACTTCGCCGACAAGCGGCGGTCGCTCGATCGGTATAGTTTGCTTGAGGACTGCGAGTCACGGAGCTTTTTTTTTGTATGATGCACAGACAGTATCCCTCACAGTGATCCCTCATCCAACGAGGGGGACAAGTCCTTCGAGATGGCGCGCCTTCGGTTACACGAAATTGAGACGAAATGTACGCCGAATATTTACACTGTAGCACATGCCGAATACATCTCAAGTTGTGTTGTACAAATAAACGGTAAAACTATCGTTGTACTTAATTAAGCATCACGTCTTGAAGACGTATGGGGGACTGAAGGTATAGCTCCATCATTTTCTATAGTGGCAATAGGTGAAGGGGGAGACGCTGTAACGTAGTTGGTTGAAGCATTTTGCTACAAGTCGGAAGGTCGCGGATTCGTCCATTTTTCAATTTACCTAATCCTTCCAGTCGCACTATGGCCCTGGGGTCGACTCAGCCTCTAACAGAAATGAGTACCAGAAATTTTACTGGGTGTAAAGGGTGGCAGACGCGTAAGGCTGACCTCATCTGTGAGCCGATTGTCTAGAAAATGTGAAAGCCTCGATGGCTCACAACCCCATAGGCTTCCACAGCCTGTTGCAGGGATACTTTTACTTTCTACTAGATGAAGGTGAGTTATCAGCTTCACGCTTCGGCTGCTTAACCCCCGGGGAATACCGTTAACGTGATGAAATAAGAAGTATGAGATCGACGAGGCATGTAGCATGCGGAAGAGAAGCTAGACTAATAAAAATTTTGGTATGCACGCCTGAACAAAAGAGAATTTTCAAGACCTGGACGTCGATGTGATGGTAATATTAAAGTGGAACATAAAGGAATAGGTTGAAAGAGTGTAGAATGGATTCATGTGGTTCAGGATAGGGGCGCTTGTGACTAGGGCAATGAACTTTCGATTCTCGTCACATGCCGGAGACACGTTGCACACGTGACTGTCGACGAGGAAGCCCCGTGACTTACGTGAAATACACCTGTCCCCCGGGACTGTCCCGCGGAGCGCTCCAAACTATAGTAGCCTGCAGTTTGTCTTTATTGTCGGCGTGCGTTATGGCAGCGCACTCGGGGAGTCCCTTCGTGTTGGGGGCTTCCTCCCACGTTCCCACCCAGGAGCCGGTGGCGACATCTCTCGCCTGAAGGAAGAACCCTCGGAATATGTCACCTCTGATGGAAACTGGAACAAACAGAGTGATACTGTATAGAGACCCGTTTGTACGTAGCAACCGCGAAACAAGACAACGAAACAACGTCCGCTGGTAGGCAGCAGATTCTTAATTAACAAATATACACAGCCGTTACCTAGTAACACCTTCGCAAACATGTTCCCACGGCAGCGAATTTACGCGCAACAGTACAGGAATTGTTTTGAAACGTTTTTTTTCTATGCGGTCCGTGCCGAAATCTTATATTCATGAAAATTGACGCGTGGAGTATTAGCCATCGTACAACGACGTGAGCACAGGAATTGAATAATCTCCGATGTTGGGAGCTGTTACCAGGAAACGACTAATGAAGACTTTATGCACAGTTATTTGTGAAGTGCGTAGATCTGCGATCGCGTTATAATTACACGAAGTGTGTATATAAGTGGTCAATAAATCTAATCTCCAATGTAAACCCCATCCTTTGTCACTCATACACTTGACAGTATTATGTTTAAGTAGGGTAATTTGGGTTTTGGCCGGTCACAGTAGCCGAGCGGTCTAAGGCATGCACTGTCTTCGCTCGCTCGGAAGCCGGGATCGTGGGTTCGGATCTGTTTCCTGTGAGGTACGAACTGAATTCTTATATATTATTCTTATACACTGCCGGTCACGGTAGCCGAGCGGTCTAAGGCATGCACTGTCTTCGCTCGCTCGGAAGCCGGGATCGTGGGTTCGAATCCCACTCAGGGCATGGATGTTTGTGTGCATTTTTCTGTGTTTGTCTACAGGTAGAGGCCTTGCGACGAGCTGATCACTCGCCCAATGAGTCCTACCCTATGTGTAAGATCTAGAAAAACCGAAGTGAACGGAGTTCATGGAGGTAGGCCTAGGCCCACTGGGGCTGTAGTGCCAAGGGGGGGGGGGAAAAAAGAAAATTGGGTTTTGAGTTTCTCGCGGTCGTGACCGTGGAGAGTGTGATGTCTTCTGGGATGTGACGCTGTGTAGTACACCGACGTTTCGGAAGAACGTGCTGCAGAGCTGTGTTTACTCTTCGATTTATAGAGATAGAGACTGTACACCAGTTGTTTTCTATCAGAGTACACGGCTTCATATCCCAGAAGACGCTACACCCTACAGCCATCACCATGAGAGTATAAGAATAATATATAAGAATTCAGTTCGTACCTCACAACAAACAGATCCGAACCCACGATCCCTGCTTCCGAGCGAGCGAAGACAGTACATACCTTAGACCGCTCGGCTACCCTGACCGGCCAGTTGTTATCAGCCATTTTATTTGTTTCCTCCGAACTGTCTCATTGTTTAATGGTATAATTCTTCTTGTTCTTGTTGGCCTTATGCATTTCCGTGTTGTCCAAGTCAGAACTAATAATGATTACCACTGCGCTATTTCCGAAACTGGCCTTGTGGCTATTGTCTTGATGTTTTTCCTGCTCAGTATTGTGATTACCAATATCCATACTACGTTGTTTCTCTAATTGGCCTTGTGGCTGTTGACTTGGCACTTGTATTATTGTTATTACTTTCTAAACTCCAGATGTTGGTCTTATAGTTTCGTTTCGCACGAGTTTACTCGATTGTTTGTTCAGTGGCGCGGTCTCAGCCTTGAGTAAGAAAGCGCTCAGTAACGTGAATTGGCTCCGTAACCATGGCAGCAATTGCGATTATTGTGGTCTTAGAAACTGTCCTTTGAGACACACAATGAATGTTTAGTACTCTGAGAAACACGGATTTAAAGAAATCAGTCTGTGTGCTTCAGCTGTGCCAAGACATCTCTGTCAGAACCAATGGGCTGCCTTCGACTTTAGAAGACGGAAAAGCGTGGCAATAAAACTGCAAGAACCACCATCGCTTCTAGCAGTGATAACAATACAATTTCAGGGTTTTTCTAAATTATTGTCGGGGTTTCCGTAGCCTGTAATTTTAAAACCGGAGAATACAGAATAAAACTGCTTGCGGAATATGAAAATGCAAATCAGAATGTTTTACTGTCAATAGAAGCAATGCTGCATAATGCTAAACAACTTCAGCATGCGTCCCTTTATTTTGTTGTCTCCGGTTTGAAAATTCAAGGCCACGGAAATCACGACAGTGATTTAGAGTTGCATTGCATTTCTTAGGTGCATGGCCCTTTTCAATGAAGAATATTACTGTATGTTCCGGTTTTGTGATGCCATACAACCAGATAGACGTTTACTGACGTATCGGAGGAAGGCACTGCCTCCCACTTCAGGGTTCGTAAATAGGACAAAAATAAGCAGGTAAATCGTCTTTGAAACGTCGCTAAAATTTGTCAGACTACACGTCGTCGCATTCCAGAAGAGAGTTCTCATCAGTTGTGATTTTTTTTAGAACACTGTACTGAAATTCAATTGTCTGTTATGTAGTTCTTCTATGCCAGCGGTTCCTAAACTGCGGGGGCGTGACACTGTTCCGGAGGGCATGTAGGGTTATGACAAACAAATAATTTTTAATGTAAAATGTAACTGAAAAGTTCAGTTCATTTTAGGTACATTTAACCATTTATTATGTAAGCAGCCATTTAATTTGTTGTCCCCTCTTTAAAAATAGAAATCTGAGCCATTCGATTTCAACATTTGTTGGCATTATTTATCGACAAACTAAGAGAAGCGTCCAGAATTTTCATTTTAAAAATTTAATTTCTTATTCTAGGTTTTGATATTTTACAAATTATGAGTTTGTTTACCATAAACAGTAATGTAAATGTGGTGCAAAGTATTCAATTTATTTACATCTTAACTTGTTTTTTTAATGGCACTTTTAAATTCGCTTAGTAGGGGGTGGAGATCAACTGGGTCCACTCGGCACGGCGGCCACTGATTGACCTATTGTAGCCTGCCCCAGGTGATTATGATGATGGAGAATTTGGTGGAATGAAGATTGGCAGGGGAAACTGAAGTACTCGGAGAAAACCTGCCCCAGCGCCACTTTGTCCACCACAAAGCCCACTTGACCAGACCCGGGATCGAACCGGGACTCCGCGGTGGGAAGCCAGCGACTAACCGCTTGAGCTATGACGCGGCCCTAACAGCACTCTTAGTATCAAGACTCGGATGATCAATGAACATGGAACAGTTTATGGTATGATAATTGGCAGGGGAAACCGAAGTACTCAGAAAACCTGTCATATTATCACTTTGCCCACCGCAAATTCCACATGAGCCGATCTGGCGTCAAACTCGGACCACCTCACTGGGAAGCCTGAGCTGTATGACGGCCTGCAACACTTCAATAAATATATCTGAAGAGGGAGGCACAAAAATTTGGTGAAAGCCACAATGGGATGTCATGCCAAAAAGTTGTGAAGCGCTGCTTTACTCAGCCTATACGAAATTTCGTAATGTGGTTGTATTACCTGTAATCTTTGAGCCCGGTCCGTATTCGTTGCTGGAAGCTGTGAGAATGTACGGTAGAGTTTCCGAAGGCTGAGACCTGGCCTGTCCATGGTACGGCTGATTGGGTCTGGGTTTTACACAGGCGTCCACTGGCGCACCATCAGGAAACCCTCTTACCGAAAAGGGCAAGACAGCCAGAAGAACACACAGAACTTGGTTCCTCAGAATCTGTCTTGAACCTGTCATTCTTGCCGGAGTTTTTATTGTACCAGAGGTGTTTCGGGTCACTCGTAAGTGTTGTCTGTCTTTGCTCACTGAAAGGACGTTACAGATATTTATTATTAAATTATTGACTCAAATTTTGAAGGGGAAAACAAGTAGAAACATAATTTTTCAAACACTCAAAATAACTTGAAGTACACAACATTGAACTCTCTATTATGTTATTATTGAAAACGTATTTGTTTTCTTCAGTACTTGAGTGAAGTTTTAGACAAAATAGATAAAGCAAAATACTTGTGTCGAATTGCAGTTCTTCGTATTACCAACCGCTGCTGTTTGCTGAAGCGAGTTTATGTACTCTCTAGTTCCGCCAGCCTCTGTATCACAGCGCTGCTTGCTGCAGACTAACAGCATGCGACTTCCACGTCTGTCCTATACAGAATACAAGAAGAACAAAATTAAAAAAGCTAAGATAAAAATTTAACTGAACACAGAAATGATTTGGCATTTCCTCTCCCGGCGTGTTATTTAACATTAAACTTAACCTCTTTTGTAAAACTGGTTTCTTTGCTGTTTTTTATTTTAATAGCCTATAGCTGATCGTGTTTTAGTCTTCTCAAGATGGTAGGTGGGAAAGATTATGTGCAAGGTTGTCTGTGATTGGTTATTTTTATTACATTCGCAAGTCCCACTCGTAAATGCATGCAATGCTGAAGCTGGTAGACAGTAAAATAAACGTAACGTAACTATTAATTTTAAATGGTAAATTCGTTTTTGTGTTAGACTATGTAAATTATCCTCCCATTTACATTTCAATGCTTTCATGTGATTGGTACATCAAGAAATCTTTCTTATAGTACGGTAATATTTTGATGATTATATTTGTCAGTCCAGTACCTTATTGGAGCACGCCGCAGAGTAGTTGGTTGAGGCACTGTGCTACAAACCGGAAGGTCGCGGGTTCCATACCTGATGAAGTTATCGGGATTTTCTACTGACCCAATCCTTCCAGCCGCAGTATGTTCCTGGGCCCGACTCAGCCTCTAACAGAAATGAGTACCAGGAATCTTCCTGGGGTGGTAAAGGGTGGGCGACGCGTAAGGCTGACAACCTCACCGCCATCTGTGAGCTGATTTCCTAAACAAATGTGGGAGCCTCGACGTCTCACGACCATATGGGCCTTCACTCTCTGTTACAGGGATAGCTTTATCTTCTTTTTTTACCATTTACCAGAACATTAATTATACTATAGAAGTATGTCAGTGATAAATAATACAGTTACGAACTTGTAGTCAGGTAGTTTTATGATGAAATGATCATATTATTGCATGGAAACCTCCAGAATCCTTTTTCCTCATGCAACATCAATTCTTTTTTTATATCTGCATAACGAAAAGTATTAAAATCTGTCAAGGAATTTAGACGTTGAAGAACTGACAGTATACAAGGAAGGAGAGAGAGAATTACAAGCATAATTAATACGAGCTGAAATGAAGGAATACAGAGATACGTAATGTTATAACGTCTGAAGACATATATGATGATTAAGGAAGTAAAACAGCTGATCTAATCGATGTAATATCAGTTGATGTTAATTGGTACGCATAGATGTTCTGATAAATAATTTTTGTTTTGCTTTGGAATATCCGTTGAAAATTCAGTTGTGTGTCACATTCATGAGAATGTTCCACTCTGAATACGGTTTTATGAACTTTTACTCTGTTTATTCTTTTTTTAAACACTTGTCATCTTCATTTTTTAATCATTGTGATATAGCTAAAAAGAATCATACTAACTGACATTTTGTGTAGCTTACAGAATATTCCATTTATGGATTTTTCTTTTGGTTTAAGTCGCATGAACTTTGATGGAAATAGAAAGCATATAATTAATTCATTTCTCTCAAATTGGCAAAAGTGTCACTACAGTAGAATTTTGATAACTTCACAAAGTGTCTAAAAATCCGCATAAGTATAAATTATATTTTTATGATGAAAATGTCTGACTTTCGAATCCATTGACCTCGAATCTGTCATCATTTAGGAAAATATACATTAACTTATTTACCTATACTTGGGATTTTGAAACTAATAATCCATGGATTTTCTTTCTAACAGAAATATACTTCAAGCTTACGATGTAGCGAATTTTAATGCACGTATGGCAATCCTTTTTAAAGAAATGTAGCAATGAGATAACGGTTTAATTGTTAATGTTGAATCTCTACTTAAGTCTTTGCACCGTATGGATATGATAAGTGTTGCAGACGTTTCGAAGATACAAACTTTCTACTCTGAACATGGAGGCAGCACATTACCAACACTACTTACATCCACATGACGCAAAAGCATACGAGCAAATCAGCATCAGAGATATATTGTATATTGTCACACCGGCTAGTAATACTTACGGATAATTATGTAACGTTACACTAAGTTATTGTGTGGACCAATGCGTGTAACGCGCTTGAATGGACGAGAATCTTATCTGACGGAGGCAACTTTCACCGCCACATCGTGAGATACGTCAATGAGATTCTGAGGGGGGGG